GAGCCTATAGAACCTTCTGCCACAGAAAGCAGTTGAGGCAAAAACATTTAACATTTTCAAGAAGGAGTTTGAGATTGTTCTTAGGGCTAAAGGGTTCAAAGGGTATTGGGAGAAAGTTGGAACAAGGGACTGAATTGAATGATCAGCCATGATCATATTGAATGGCAGAGCAGGTTTAAAGGGCCAAATGGCCTACTCCTAGTTCTATTTTCTATGTTTGTAGTGCTACAAGTGTGACATTGAGCAAAATATATCAATTACAATTAGAAACAACACATTGTTGCACGCTGTCCAGTGAGTGTCATTTTCAGATGGAACAGATATACTTGATTTATTGCCAGTGCTGTCAGCTGGAACAGAGGACAAATAATCAGAGGCTCCTATGCATTACCTGCCACATGGATGATTCACGCAACTCCTCCTTGCTGTAAATACTGCTGTTAATTATTAACTGCTTAAAACAGAACAGGTTTTGAATACTAAAGACATTTGTTTTATTCTCCCCAGGTAGTTAGTTTAGTACCCCTTGGAGAAGTCAGAGGAGCGTTTCTTAATTTTCCCAGTGTGAACTTGTTTTAATGCCTTAGTCTTTGTGTAACCCAGGAGTGGAGGGGCAATGTAACACCTTTATTTAGAAAGGGGAGGAGACAAAAACAGGTAACTATAGGCCAGTTAGCTTAAGGTCTGTTATTGGTGAAACATCAGAGTCCAGTATAAACAATGTAATGGCAGAACATTTAGAAATACATACAATGGTTGAGCAAAGTCAGCATGGTTTCACAAAGGGATAATCATGCCTGATAAATATTGACAAATAGAACTTTTGGGGAGGTAACAAACAGCAAGGAGAAGCAATGAGATGTTTGATAAGATGCTAAAAATTCGGCTACTTAATAAGAAAATAGTCCATATTGTAGGGGTGGTATGTTAGCATGGATAGATGACCAGCATTTTCAGAATGGCAACCTGTAACAAATGGAGTTCCATAAGGTCTATAATAATTTCCTATAGGTATTAATGGAATATTGGATGAGAAAACTACGTATTATAACCAAGTTTGCGAATTTCACAAAAATAGGTTGAAAGGCAAGTGGTGAGAATGCCACAAAGACACTACAGAGGAATATAGACAGGTTAAATGAGTGGGCAAAAACATGGCAGATGGAATATAATGTGAAGTTTTGGGTTCCTTCATCTATGGAAAGATACACTGGCATCGAGGTAGTCGAGATACTGGTCACTAGGTTGATCCTAGTCATAGAATTATTTTCTTATGATCAAATGTTGAATAGTTTGGGCCTGTACTTATTGAAATTTAGAAGAAATATTGACCTTATTGAAATGTACAAGATTATTTGGAGTCTTCACAGAGTTAATGTAGAAAGGTTGTTCCCCATTATGGGAAAGTTTAGGGCCAGAGGGCATAATCTCAGAATAAGGGGTCACCCTTTTAAGGGAGACAGCAGGTGAAATTTCCTCTTTCAGAAGTTAGCGTGTCTATGGAATTCTTTACCACAGTGGGGTGCCAAGGTTAGTTTATTTAGTATTTTCAAGTCAAGATAGATTTTAAAGAGTTTAGAGAAAAGGCAGGGACGTGAAGTTGGGGATTATCAGATCACGCATGATCTCATTGAATGGCAAAGCAAACCCAATGGGCTGAATTGTCTACTTCTGATCCTACGTCTTATGGTCTTACAGTAAGAGATTCGGACAGCTGGGAATTGTTTAAAGGGGAGCGTTTTTTGAAAAGAGAATCACTTTTTCCCAGGGTTTTTTGCAGCAGCAATCAGGCCTGAGGTGTCTGTTAGGCCATGCCCGCTAATTGAAAAGAGGGTAGATTTAAAGAGGCCTTGCTATTAGCATTCAGTTTGAGCTCCACGCCAGCCCTTGCTGTCTTGGAGGTGATGACCCAAAATCTTGTTGTGGGGTCCCACAGTTTAGGAAACCCTAAGCTAGAGAATCAGTAATTGATTTGCACTGTAGATGTGCCGATAAACATGGTATTCTTCTCTACCTGTACCAGAAGTGGTATAGATTAGCATGAATTCAAGGAATAATGGGAATATGCATTTTCATGAGGTAAACTGATTTATTTTGTCTGTTCAGAATAAGGACTTCAGTGCAAAATTAGCTTTGTTGGAAATAAATTTGCATTGCATTTTGCTTTAAGTATCTGTTTTGTAGTTCTCTTCATCTTTGTTTGGATGGCACTTTATAGTCTGTGCTTCAGGAAAATTGGCTGTAGAAGGTAGATTAAAACATATTTTATAAAATAATGGGAAATTATCTTAATATTATTTACTTTCTTTGTTTACAGATTAGTGTTGTTTCCTTCATATAGCAGTTCAGATTTTACAAAGTTCATTTCAGCTGTTTTGATGCTGAATTGTGGTGTTTGGATGGTGAAGTTCATTTGTGTGTGTTTAAGCTGTGCTGCATCTTGCAGCAAAATTTTGTGGGAGAGTACAATCCAGAAATTACAGTACATTTTCTGAAGTAGGTTTTCCATTGCAAAGCATCTTGTGATAGTTGCATATGCCTGCAGTTCATCTACATGCATCAGTGGGCTAGAACTCTAACAGAAACAGCAAGTGATGGAGAAACACAGCAGGTCTGGCAGCTTCAATGGAGAGAAAAACAGAATTACCATTTCAGGTCCAGTATAAGTCTTCTTCAGTACTTTTGTTTTGCTTTAGATTTCAAGCATCTGCAGCATTTTGCTTTTATTTTGGTGACTGTAGCGTGGCTAGGAAATCAGAGCTTTGCACCCAATTGCCTCCAAATGTACTCCCATCTTAGAAGGCAATGCACCAGAACCATAGAGTCATAGAGACCTGCAGCCCAGAAAAAGGCCCTTCAGCCCATCGTGTCTGTGCTGGTCAAAAACAACCACCTAATAATTCTAACCCATTTTCCGGCACTTGACCCATAGCTTTGCGTGGCTTGGTATTGCAAGTGTTCATTTGGATACTTCTTAAATGTCATGAGGGTTTCTGCCTCCATCACCCTTCCAGGCAGTGAGTTCCTGATTCCCACCATTCTCTGGGTGATAAAGTTTTCCTCACAGCTCCTCTAAACTTTCTGCCTCTCACCTTAAGTCTATGCCCTCTGGTCATTGATCTCTCCATCAAGAGAATAAGTATTTTCTTGTCTACCCAATCTATGCTCCTCATGATGTTATACATCTCAATCCAACCCCTGTCAATCTCCTTTTCTCTGAGGACACCAACCCAGTCTATCCAATTCCTCTGCATTACTGAAACTCTGCACCCTCTCCAGTCCTGTCACATGCCTCCTATATTGTGGTTTCCAGAACTGCACACAATACTCTAGCTATTGTCTAACCAGAATTTTATACAGTTCCAGCACAACTTCCCTACTGTTAAACTTTATGCCTCAGCTAATAAAAGCAAATATCCCACATACCTTCTTAACCACTTTATCCATCTGCCTTGATACCTTAACGGACCGGTGTGCACGCACACCAAGGTCCCTCTGATCCCCGGTACTTTGCAGGTCCCTACTTCTCATCATATATTCCCTTGTCTTCCCAAGTGCATCACTTCACACCTATCCAGATTGAATTCCATTTTCCACTGATCAGCCCATGTGACCAGCTTATCTTTGTCTTCCTATAATGTGAGGCCATTCTCCTCACTATTTGTCACCCCACCAATTTTTTGTATCATCTATGAACTTACTGATCAATCCTCCTGTATTCAAGTCTAAATCATTTATATAAACCATCAAATTTCAATAAATAACAAAACATTGGTAAAGAAAACTCCAGTTTAGACAGCATCTGTAAAGAAGAACAGAGCTGATATTGCATGTTCAGATGACCCTTCGTCAATCCGAGGAAAGTTAGAATTGTAAGAGTGATTTCTGTAGTATAGGGTAGAGGGAGACCCTCTGAAGTCTGTGGGAAGGTCTGTGATAGAGGAGGGCAGGAGAAATTGAATGACAAAAGGTTTCAAGGAACAAATGTTGAAGGAAGTGGTAAAGAAACAAAGACATGTTTCCATTTGAGGTATGATTGGCTGCTTAGCAGCTGGCTGAATGCAGTATGAAGGAGAAAAGAAAGATACAAGCCAAAACCAAATCAGTGAAAAAATATGAAATAAAAGGGATAACACAGTGTGGAGCTGGAGGAACACAGCAGGCCAGGCAACATCAGAGGAGTAGGAAAGTTGACATTTCGGGTCGGGACCAATGTCAACTTCCTGCTCCCCTGATGCTGCCTGGCCTGCTGTGTTCCTCCAGCTCCACACTGCGTTATCTCTGATTCCAGCATCAGCAGTTCTTACTCTCTGTGAAAGAAAAGGGAGATCTAAATTGTTAAACTCAGTGTTGAGCTCGGAAGTTGTTGGGTCAAAAGACGAGATGCTTTTCTAAACTTTAAACTTACTGTTATAATTCAGGTGTAAAGATAACTCCTCTGATTTGGCTTCTGTAAGTTATTTGACTGCCTTTACTTTTGGAATTTGACTCTTACTGCTCACTGTTGTGTAAAGGTGGGTGTCAACATTGGATGATGCAAAAATCTGAATAACTTTCAGCCATAATTCATCAGTGGACGGAAGGCCTCAGAGAGAATGTAGTAGGCCTAAGTCCTATTTCAGACACTTGAGCACAAAACCTTGTGCAGAAATCCTTCTACAGCTTATATTTTGAGGTTCTCTGCCCTCCTGCAGATTTTCCATGCCTCACTGATGTTCTATAGGACACTTATTTCCAAGGGCTGCTTCACAAAGAACTAACCTTCAATCAGAGGAGCTCTAAATGCCAGCAGCGCATCATAAAATTAATGTTAGGCAAATCCCAGAAAATACTGTGGATCTGTTTGCTACATCATGCTTTCGTTCTGAATACGTTCTGAACTGAAAACTTCAGACATTACAACTGGTGTTTTCTACTCCTTTTATGTGGCTTCTCCAAAGCCATTGTCTCATTATTGTGATAGTTGCAATGTCTGTATCACTACCCATTTAAAATATAAATTTCAATGTTTGGAAAAGAAATTGTAAGCTCAGTAATTTGTTATTTTCTGTTCATGTTGTTTGCTATTGTGATGGAAAGGTCAGAGGAGTCAACATCAGAAGATGAGAAAAGGAGGTATGTGTTACACTTTTTTCTCTTTCAACCTCATACAGCATAAGGTTATCTAACAGGAATAATTGCTGCATGATTAATATTGCAAACTTTGGTGTAATTTTCAAGGTAATGGTTATGGGATTTAATAGGGCAGTGATTCTTTGTATGTTCAATTCTCACATACCAATATAAACTTACCATGGACCTCTTGCAAAGTATTTGCAACCATTCATCAATTTATATTATTGCATTGCTATCTTCAAGACCATCTCTCTCTACTCCCTCCCTTTCTCAACCCACAGCCTATTTAACTGAATGTAAATCCCTGTTCTGATCTGCACAAGCAGTCACTCTCTGCTCCGAGGCAGCATGCTCAATCAACTGTTGTCAGCACACTTTAAATCAGGATATGGGCAGTAACATTAATGTGAAGAGACAAAGTGTTCTCTATGGATTGTGGCTGCGTGTTCTCGCTTTATCTCTCATCCTACTCACTAGAATAATCTTCTTGAGGGACACTGAACCTAAAGTGAGTACAACTCCTCCTGGAAAATAGTGAATCTTCAATGTAAACATAATTTACAATGTAAAACAAAGTTGCTGGAAAAGCTTAGCAGATCTGGTAGATCTGTGAAGGAAAAAACAGTTAAGGTTTCAGGTCCGGTGTAATGTCAGAACTGAGGAAAGATCTCCAGACCCGAAACGTTAACTCTGTTTTTTCCTTCACAGATGCTGCCAGACCTGCTGAGCTTTTCCAGCAACTTTGTTCTTGTTCCTGATTTACAGCATCTGCAGTTCTTTCGGTTTTTATAAATTACAATGTGTTATTTTTAATATACTATTGCTTAGCTTGACAAAATACTAACCAATGAAATGTTACTGATATCTGTTGTATTGTGGAAAGTAAAAATAAAAGTTTATGGCATGGGGTAGTGCATTGGTATGGGTAGATGTTGGCTGGTCAACAGGAAGCAGAGTAGGCATAAATAGTTATTTTGCATGTTTGCAAGATGCCATAGGGATCGTGTGCCACAGGGATCAACGCTGGGACCTCAGTTGCTTACAATTGATATAAATTACTCAGATGAAGGCAGAGAAGATATGGTGACCTAAATTTGCTGACGACACAGAATAGGAAGGATAGTAAGTTTTGAAGGGAACAAAAGGAGGCTACAGAAAGATAGATAGGTTCAATGAGTGGATAAAAATATGACAAATGTGACCTTGCCTATTTTGGCAAGAAGAATAAAAATGAAGCAGATTATCTAAATGGTAAGAGGTTGCAGAGCTCCGAGAAATGCAGAGAGATCTGGGAGTCTAAGTGCACGAATCATAAAAGGTCAATATGCAGGTACAGCAAGTAGTTCAGAAAATTAATAAAATGTTGTAATTTACTACGAGGGGAATTTGACACAAAAGTACAGAGGTTATGCTTTACATATAGGGACAATGTTGAGACCACATCTGGAGTACTGCATGCATTGTTGATCTCATCACTTAAGGAAAGAGGACTTTGGAAGCAGTCCAGACAAGTGTTACCAGACTAATACCGAATGTAATAAAACAAAAGACTGCCGATGCTGGAAATCTGAAACAAAAACTTAGGTCTGGCAGCATCTGTGGAGAGAGAAGCAGAGCTAACGCTTCAAGTCCAGTGATCCTTCTTCAGAACACCCAGAATGAGTGACTTGGAGACAGTAAGGACTGCAGATACTAGAAGCCAGAGTGTGAAGCTGGAAAAGCCCACTAGGTCAGACAGTGTCTGAGGAGCAGGAAAGTCAACATTTCGGGCTGAAACCCTTCATCAGGACTGCTGTGCTTCTCCAACTTCACACCTATTGACCCGGAATGAGTGGGTTGTCGAAGAGGGTAGGCTTGTATCCTCTGGAGTTTCTAAGAGCGAGAGATGACCTGATTGAAACATACAGATCCTGATGGATCTTGACAGGGTAGATATGGAGTGGATGTTTCCTCTTGAAGGACAATTATAACAAGAGGCTGCTGTTAATAATCAGGGGTTGTCCATTTTTCAAAACGGATAAGGGGTGAAATTTATTCTTCCAGAGAGTCATAGGTCTTTGAAATGCTCTTCCTGAAAAGGTGGATGATACCAAGTCCTTGAATATTTTTGAAGGCAGATGTGGATAGATTCTTGTTAAGCATTGGCTGAAAGGTGGGTCTAAAATTTTCTTCCTAAACTTCTCTCTACACCTCTTTCTTCTCATGGGTCATTCCTTAAACCTCAGTTCGTGCCCCAGTATCTTTATGGCCTGTATCAAGGATTGTTTATTAAAGCTCTCTTGAAGTACCTTGAAATGTTTTACTGTGTTAAAGGTGCTATATAAATGAAAGCTAGTATTGTTAACTTGATCAATTGCTGATTTATCAGAAATAGTTAAACTGTTGTATTAAATGGTTGCCTTTGTAGTGTGACTTGTAATGTTGAGCTTTCTTTCTCTGCATAGAGGCCTCAGAGTTAATTATAATTGTCAGTCACCTGTGGAAGAGCTGTCTCTCTGAAAATCCTTTCCACCTCTGAGAAACATTACACAGAGATAGGGAGTATTGTTAATGGAAGAGGGTGTGGTAGCCTGGGGAGGGTAGGTGAAAGGAATATACAGTCCCATTAAAGTGTGCAGCTTGAATGTTTGTTGCATTTGTTACCAAAATGGTAATTTTCTTGTCTGTGATTTTTCTCAATATGCTGTACCAGCTGGTAGGCTTGCTGCTGGGAGTATGTATTTGTGAGGTATACATTTGGGTTATATCTCCTAACGTGCATCTAAAACTAGGGACAGAAGTTGTACTGAAGTAGTGAGCGTAAACTTACTAGTGTTTTAGTAAGGTACTGTTGGTTCTGCTATAACACGATAGTTGCATTCCTGTGGTGCACGATAGAAATAACAGGGCTTATAGGAAAAGTAGGGTTAGGGGCAGACTACCAAAAAAATCACTCAAAAGCTTAATTCAAATGGTAGCACAATTTGAATAAATGTTTAATTCATATCTAATAATGATATAAAAGTAACATTTTACCTTGAAAAAATGGCAAGATGACTTGATGGGGAAGGAGGTTGTACTGTACCTCTCACAGAAAGCATTTCACAACAAACCCTTTGAAATGATCACATGATGCCAGGGCAGAGACTCTTTCAGCGCTAACATTGTCCGTATTCACGACAAAGCCGATGAAATGATCATGTGATGTTGACACATACTCCTTTGTGTGCTGATGGAATCGCATTATAGCCAACACAAGTTTGCGTTTTAGAAATAGTGTTCCCCTATTCGTCAGTTGCGTTGTAGCCAATTCCTGTTGACGGAACACGTGTTGTGGCAGAACTGACTGTATATATTCTGGAGCTTTGTACAAAGAATAATAATTGTTTTCTTTCAATAATTAAGGAATTATGGAGGTGTCTACGTTGGTTTGCCTGCAGATACTGCCACCAAGGTTCCCAGTCACACAGCTACAACTGGCAAAGGTACTGGAGGCCCTTTAATGTGTACTTCCAATTAGATAAAATATTTAGAAATATGATTAGCAGTGTTTGCTGACACCCACACCTGTGGGCCACCAGCATGCCGCTAATCACGTGCATGATTGCAGACACAAAATGTCACCATGTAGAATTAATGTAAGATCTACCTAGGAAGAGTACACAGCAAATGCACAGAGAAGCGCACACACTTTTGAAACAGGAGTCAAGAGCAGAGAATGAGGATGGGAATTCAGGGGAGAGAGAGTGGAGAGGCTGAGGGCACAGGACCCAAGACGCTCTCCCTCCCATCCCTTCCCCCTCCTGCTTCCTCATGCTCTGCACTCCCTCATCCCTCTGGTTCTCTTACCCCTCCCACTCTCTCACCACCCTCCAGCTTCCTCCCTCCCTCACCCCAACCACCCTCCCCAACAATCTCTCCCCACTACCCTCTCTCATATCCCACTCCCATTCTCTCGTACCCCCTCACCCACACTCTCCTCCCTCCAACTCTCCCCCTTCCACCTCTTACAATCCGTGCTCTCTCAACGTCTCCCCTCCCCCACGCTCTCGAACCCCTTGCACAGTCTCAACCCCTGCTTGCTGCGCTCTCCCCCTCCTACCGCGCTGTCATCCCAGTCGCGCCGCGCGCCCTCAGTCCCAGTCGCGCCGCGCGCCCTCAGTCTCAGTCGCCCTCCCACTGTGCTATCTCCTCTTCTATCCTGCATTCCCTCTCCTTCCCTCCTGCATTCTCTCCCCCTCCCTCCAGTTCCCACCATCCCTGCTGTCTCAACCGCCTCCTTCCCCACTTTTTCAACTACCTCCCCCCCACCCACCTGCTCTTCCCTTGCACAGCCTCTGCTTCCTGCGTCCCATGCACACTTACCCTCTCTCACTCCCTGCCCCCCCACTCTCCACCTCATGCCCCCTTTCCCCTCTCTCACTCTCTGCACCCTGTGCTCTACTCCTCGCACTCTCTCATTACCCACCTCCCTCCAAACCCCACTCTTCCCCACCTCTCCATTCTCCACACCATCCTGTGCCCTCTCCTCTGCCGCGCCCTCGCCTCTGCCACTCTCCCAGCCTCCACATCAAGACATGAATGGTGGTGGGCAATTACACAGCTGATTGGAGGAGTGGGCTTCACAAACATCCTCAGTGATGGAAGAGCCCAGCACATCAGTGAAAAAGGCAAGGCTGGAGCATTCACTGCAATTTTTAACCAGAGTATCATCTTGGCCTCCTCCAGTGGTACCCAGCATCACAGGTGCCAGTTTTCAGCCAATTCAATTCACTCCACGTGATAACAAGAAATGGTTGGAGGTACTGGATACTGCAAAGTCTATTGGCCCTGATGAGATTCTCGCAACAGTACTGAAGCCTTGTGCTCCAGAATTTGCCACTCTTCTAGCCAAGCTGTGCCAATAATGTGAAAAATTGCCCAGGTTTGTCCTGTACACAAAAAGCAGGACAAACCCAACTTGGCCAGTTACCATCCCCTCAGTCTACTGTTGACCATTGGTAAAGTGATGGAAGGTACCATCAACAGTGCTATCAAGCAGCACCTGCTCAGTGATAACCGGATCATTCACATCCAGTTTGGGTTCTGCCAGAGTCACTCAGCTCCTGACCTCATTACAACCATGTTACAAGCATGGACAAAAGAGCGGAATTCCAGAGGTGAGGTGAGAGTTACAACCCGTGACATAAACACCGCTTTCAACAGAGTGTGCCATCAAGGAACCCTAGCAAATCTGGAATCAATGGGTATCGGGGACAAATTCTCCACTGGTTGAAGTCATGCCTGGCGCATAGGAGGTTGGTTGGGATTGATTGAGGTCAGTCACCTCAGCTCCAGGACATTTCTGCAGCAGTTCCTCAGGGTAGTGTCCTAGGCCCAAACATCTTCAGCTGCTTCATCAATGACTTTCCCTCCATCATAAGGTCAGAAGTGAGGTGATTTGCTGATGATTGCACAATGTTCAGGCTATTTGTGACTTCTTAATACGGAGGCAGTCCATGTTCAAATGCGATAATATTCAAGCTTGGGCTGACAAATGGAAAGTAACGTTTGCACAACAAATGCCAGGCGATGACCAACTCCAATGAGACAACCTAACCACTGCCAATCGACGTTTAGTGGTGCTACACATCCACAAGCATCCAATCCCTCCTCCACTGACACTCAGTAGCAGCTGTGTATACTAGCTACAAGATGCGCTGCAGAAATTCGCCAAAGGTCATTAGCCAGCACCTTCCAAACCCATGACTAGTTCCATCTAAGGTCAGTAAACACCTGGAAACATAACTGCGTGCAAGTTCCCCTCCAAGTCATTCACCATCCTGACTTGGAAATGTATTGCTGTTTCTTCAGTATTGTTGGGTTAGAATCCTGGAATTCCCTCCATAAGAACATTGTGAGTCAACTTACAGCACATGGACTGCAGCGATTTAAGAAGGCAGCTCACCACCACCTTCTGAAGAACAACTAGGAATGGGCCATAAATGCTGGCCTGCCAGTGATGCCCACGTCCCACGACTGAATAATAAGAAACATTCCACCTTCCCCCTCACCCCCTCTGTGTCTCCTACTTTCTCCCTTTCCGGTGCTCTCCCTGCTTGTGTTGTTTCCACTCTGCAGCTCCCTTTGCTCTCCCACTCCCTGCCATCTGCGCTCTCCCATCTCCCACTCCCTCCCCTCTTCCTACGCCTACTCTCTCCCATTCCCCTACACTGCCCTCTAATGCTTCCTTCACTCTGCTTTCTCCCCCTCCCCTTAAACCCCACTCATGATCTCCACTCCCCTGTCACTCTCTCCCCTTACATCTTCTAACTATTTAACAATCAATATATACATTAACAAGTCATAAGAACAGAAAATGTTGGAAATACTCAGTATATTTGTAGAAAAAGCAAAGTTAACATTTCAGGTGTGATCAGCCACCAGAACAGGTCACACCTGCCGGTGTCCTTCATATTACACATAATGTAAATCACTTCAGTTTGCTGTAAAATTTATCAGTGTTGTCCAAACAGTCTAATGTGTGATTAGGTTATCACCAACACTCAGATGTATTGAGTGTGGGGATCAAAGTATGTTCTCACCAGTAACCTACACTTGTACTCTGTAACAGAGACCACATAGTAGCAAGCAGAATATGGTGTGGCATTTCTTCTCTCCCAATTAAAAAGTAATTACAAGAATTTTAGTATTGTTTCAGAAACAAATTATCAACGCAGTATGTGTTAAGCTAGTTCAGTGCATTAAGAACCAAATCAATACTCTTTCAACCTCTAAATATAAACCGAAAGAATGTAGATGCTGTAAATCAGAAACAAAAACAAAAATTGCTGGAATAGCTCAGCAGGTCTGGCAGCATCTGTAGAGAGTTAACGTTTCGGGTCGAGTTCTGAGGAGGCGTCACCGGACCCGAAATTTTAACTCTGATTTTTCTCCACAGATGTTGCCAGACCTGCTGAGCTTTTCTGTTTTTGTTTCTCATTCAACTTCTTAGCATCCTCAGACTCATTTTCACTTTGTGCTATGTCGTTAAATGGGTGAGTCAGGAGTCCACATCACATCTTTCCCCATTTCATTTTTATATATTTTCACGGGATGTGAACATTGCTGGATGGGCTAGTATGTATTGCTCATCCTAATTACCCTTGAGAAGATGGTGGTGAACTGCCTTCTTGAACCGCTGCAGCCAATTTCAAAGTGCAATTAATAGTCAGCTACATCGTTTATGGGTATGGAGCCACATGCAAACCAGACCAGGTAAGGGTAGCCTATTTGCTTCCCTAAACTGAATGTTTTTACAACACTCAATGATAGTTTCATGGTCATCATTTCTGAGAGTAGTTTTCAATTCCTGATTATGTTAATTAAATATAAATTCCATAATTGTCGTGGGGAGATTTGAAACTGCATCTCCAGAATATTAAAATGAGCAATGAATCAATAGCACAATGTTGCTCACTAAGGCTTGCTAGAAACTACATATATTGGCCTGGTACTCTGCAGGAAAGGAATCTGTCCAGGCATTAGTATTTTTAAAGAAAAGCTTGCAGGATACTGTTTCCTGGTGCATTCTCCTTGGCTACACTTTGATCAATAGGAGTTGGCATGCCAATCAATCACCACCTTGTTTCACGTGTGGTTTAAGTTATATCCTTTGGAATTTTATATCATTCTTGCATCTGCCCTGATCAATGCGAGATGAAGATTTTTGTCGCCTGTTTTGTCAGCAATACTCAAGATCTGTACAAGCAGGTAATTGGTTGTGTTTCAAGATTTTGTGGTCTTTCTTGAGCCAGATAATTTAAATAATTTAAAGGGCGGCACGGTGGCCTAGTGGTTAGCACTGCTGCCTCACAGTGCCAGGGACCCGGGTTCGATTCCAGCCTCAGGCGACTGTCTGTGTGGAGTTTGCACATTCTCCCCATGTCTGCGTGGGTACCCTCCCGGGTGCTCCGGTTTCCTCTCACAGTCCAAAGATGTGCAGGTTAGGTGGATTGACCATGCTAAATTGCCTGTAGTGTTCAGGGATGTGTAGGTGGGTTATAGGGGGGTGGGTCTGGGTGGGTGCTCCAAAGGTCAGTGTGGACTTGTTGGGCCGAAGGACCTGTTTCCACACTGTAGGGATTCTATGATTCTATTTTATGAAATCAATTTGAGTTTCTTTGGACAGTCATAGATTACACAATAACCAATTACTCATTGAACCTAATGTACAATAACCAAGTATGCTTCATCATTCTGTTTTTTTTTCTTTTCTTAAAAAGTCTAGGAGCTGACATGCAGACCAAGGGATCTTAATTAGAAGGTGTGTTTTTCTTAATCTGTGAATCTGAAAAATATGTATGGATTGTGGAAACACCAATGAGATGAAAAGTAAGATTGAAATTTGCATAATTTGTACAAACATTAATGTGACCAGGAAGAATATTCTGTGACTTTCTAGGATATACGTTTCATTTCTGAAATGCAGGGTGTGAACACATGATGTGAGAGAGAATCAGTGCTGCTGCATTCAAACCTGGACTCCATGTGGACTGTGTAGAATTGCCACTGGTAGTGTACATTTAACTTTGAATGCTAAGAAAATAACAAGAAATAGGAGCAGGAGTTGGTCATTTAACCCCTCTAACCCGTCCGTCCAACTTGCTCTACACTTTAGTAACATTATGGCTAATCTGATTTTGGCCTGAACTCCACTTCCCTGCCTACTCCCCACAACCTTGCAGGTTCTTCTTTGGAATAATCAAATTGGATTTGAATCGTTAAGTTTATTCCAGTCTCCATAGATGCTGCCAGACCTGTTAAGGTTCTCCAGCAATTTTTAATCATAGAGTCACAGAGGTGTACAGCCTGGAAACAGACCCTTTGGTCTAACTTGTCCATGCCACAAGACAGCCTAAATAAATCTAGTCCCATTTGCCAGCATTTGACCCATATCCCACTAAACCTTTTCTATTCATATACCCATCCAGACGCCGTTTAAATGTTGTAATTGCATCTGCCTCCACCACTTCCTCCGGCAGCTCATTCCATACATGCACCACCCTCTGTGTGAAAAAGTTGCCCCTTAAGGTCCCTTTTAAATCCTTCCCCTCTCACCTTAAACCTACATCCTCTAGTTTTGGACTTCCCCACCCCGGGGAAAAGACCTTGTCTATTTACCTTGTCCATGCCCCTCATGATTTTATAAACCTCTATAAGCTCACCCCTCAGTCTCTGATGCTCCTGGGAAAATAGGCCCTGTATATTCATCCTCTCCCCTATAGGTCATACCCTCCAACTCTGGCAACATCCTTGTAAATCTTTCCTGAAACCTTTCAAGTTTCACAACAGCCTTCCGATAGCAGGGAGACCAGAACTGCATGCAGTATTCAAAAAGTGGCCTAACCAATGTCCTGTACAGCTGCAACACGACCTCTCAACTCATGCTCAGCGCACTGACCAATAAAGGCAAGCATATCAATCCTTCTATCCACTGTCCCCTTGCACTTAACGCCAATGTTACATTTGCCTTCCTAATTACCTGCTGTACCTGTAAACTAACTTTTACATGGTATCAAACTGGCCACTTGCTTTTTAACTTCCATCGAATCTAATGATGACTGTGAATCCATTGTCGACTGTCGGAAAAACCCATCTGGTTCACAAATGTCCTTTAGGGAAGGAAACTGCCATCCTTACCTGGTCTGGCCTACATGTGACTCCAGACCCACAGTAATGTGGTTGACTCTTAACTGCCCATTGGGCAATTAGGGATGGGCAATAAATGCCACCTCGCCAGCAATGCCCTCATCCCATGAATGAAGAAAGAAAAAAAATGGAAGTCAATGGAGAGTAGATTGGAGGAGATATAGAATGGTGGCTGATTTAATTGTACTTGCTTTTTATTCGCCCAATGTTAAGATTACCTCTCACCCTCTTGTTTTTGTGGAAAACGTTAATGAATTGTAACACCAGCTATGTTTTATACCTGGAGAAGCATACCTCTGTGCTTCACAGAGCAAAGCCATTGATAATAATCCTTGGTTTTTAAAATTAGGTCTTAATGTAAGACGACCACCTTCTGTAAGAGTGTGTTGTGACTAAAATAAGAATTTGTGTAAATACAACTACTCTCATAACTCAAGTTCATGGTATCCCCAAACATTTGGTGGTCAACAAATGTACCCTAATCACAGTGATCAACAGTTTCTCCCAATTGTGGTTTTCCACATTGCACCCTAATTGCCGTACTTAATAGTTTCCTCCATACAGGATGCTCACCATTACTTCAAAAGTATGTATGCTGTTTGGCCACAATTTGTGAATTTTAAAATGGACAATGAAACTTTTTGGATCACTGTGATCACTGTTTCATTGCTGTAAGTCTACCTCATTGGTTCAATAAGAGATTTGCAACATTGCAATTGGCCTTGATTTTGTAAAATTAACATTGCTTCAACAGTTAGTGGCTGCTGAATCACAAGATTCTGGGTTCAAGTTTCACACTCCAGAACTTGAAGATAAGAATCAAAACTGATGCGACAGTGCAGTACCAAGGGAGCATCAGACGGTTAGAGGTTCTGTCCTTTGGATGAGATATTAATTAATGGTTCCATTCATTTTTCATGGATATAAAAGATCCCATGGAACTATCTTAGAGAAGTTATTCCCAGTGGCCTGGCCAATATTCATCTCTCAATCCAATACCATGAGAACCACACAATACCACACAAAATGTGTCAGAGCAGGTTTGGAGGGCTGAAGGGCCTGTTCCTGTACTGTATTGTTCTTTGTTTAACTAGATTGCCTAGATTATCACATTGAAGTGTGCAGGAGTTTCTGAATTGTTTCTTACAATTGTCCCCTTTGTGGAATTGCAGAACAACAAACCAGCTCAGCGAGCCAACCAACCTCAACACCCACAACCCGAGCTACAGATCTACTACAAAACCGTAGTGTCCCCTTTCCTTCCAAAAGTACTTAATTGGCTCTAGAGTGCTTTGAGACATGTTAGTTGTGAAAAATGTGACATAAGTGCAAGGCTATTTGACTGCCATAAAATTGAGTTCATATTCTTTAAATATTTTAGCATAGCATATTGTCACCCATGTTTGTAGTTCAGTCAGCATGAGATGTAACTCGTCTCAGACTTTAACTCACAATCCAGTAACATTGATGTATTTCTTTTACAGTGTATACAAGCTGAAGCCTCATCCAGGGCAGTGCCTGTCTTACTCTCTACAATTGTTTTGGCTGAATGGCATTCATTTTGAATGCATTTTTAAAAAAAATTAGATGAAATCAGGTAAACTTAGAGAATGGTACTGCCTTGATAGTTAATGGTTGCCAAATGTTTCCTGTTATATTAACAAATTGGGAGCTTTTGGATGCAAGCAAGTGAAGATACCTGGTGTGTGGAGGCATAAACTGTAAGAATTGTCGTATTGTGTATCCTTGAGATTTGACTACAATTCCAGCAACACTCCAATGATGCTATATTCTCACTGTGTATATCTCAACAATGCCTGTTATCATCGGGAAATCACCTCGTGATGTGATTGGAGGAAGAAAATAAGAAGCCTGTTGAGTGTCTAAATGTAAGGCTCATGGTTGGGGATGAATGGGGCATGATTTTAACCACATATTTTTAAATTGTTTTCCAGAAAATTAATTTTCTTTACTTGCCTCTTAGGAAGCAAAAACAAAATCATAAAGCGTCTGATTATTAGGTCCTCTGGAAACATGTAAGCTAACATGTTATGTTTGAAATGCAGTCACCATAGTTGGGTGAGCAAATACAGAAGTCATGTTTTGCTCAGCAAGATCCCATAGTTTTTAAAAATGAATAAGCAGAGAACATCCTGCATCTATTCCTGTGGGATCTTTTACATGCACTTCTACAAGCAGAATCAGGCCTCAGTTTAAAGTATTTCTGAAAAACAATGAAAAATGCAGCAAACGTGCAGTACTGCAGTCTATGGCATGAGTTGAAAGCCTAAATGTCTGCCTCAGAGGTGAGACTATTACCATCTGAGACAAACTGTTGTGTCAAAAACTTAATCTGAGCCTGATGTGAGGTGCAATAGTTTAGAACTTCTGATGTATTTATCGAATGTGTCTGTAACAGTCAATCTGATTCTGGTATTAAGATTTAAGATAAATATGCCAGAGTATTTTATTTAATAAGATCATTTTCTTAAATCCTGAAATTTTAGTGCAGCGTTTTGTTGCTGGAGTATATTTCTGTAACAGCATTCATAACTTTTCCTGATTCTACCTGGAATTTGGCTTAATTTCTCATTCCATACCACTGGCTGTAATTATAGCCAAACGTGATCTCTGGTGTTGTTTAGAACATTGTGCATTTCTTTGACTCTTGATTTAGGTTTTGGTGGAGAAGTTTTTTAATTTTTTTTATTTTGTGTTTTAGAAGGAGAATGGCTAGGTTTAACCTGGCAAATATTCCAGCCCATTTTTGAACCAAACGCCAACAGAGGCCCGTTTTTAAAATCATAATTATTCTTCATCTCTAACTGGTATACTTAGTAGTTCAGTTGTTAAAATTGAGGAATTATGTTCCGTTTATTGAAATAATGACAATGCAGTATTGTGTCTTCCATTTAAATTTGATCTCAATATAATTCTTATGTGAAGAATAATGTGTTTTTACAGTAAATTAATTGGTTGACAGATTTTACAACATCCAAGTAGAAGATGCTGAATCACATAACAGATCAGGTAATGTTCGTGAACGATGATATGGACAGTTAGGATTTCAAAGAACCACACAGCACAGGAACAGGCCCTTCTGCCCACCAAGCCTGCGCCGATTCCAATCCTTATTTAGACCTGCTGCTTATTGCCCATATCCAGTTTTTATCCCTCTGTTCGCCTTCTGTACATGAGTCTATCAAGATATGCTTTAAATGTTGCTAACACAAATACTCCTTCCACCACCTCCACTGGCAGTGTGTTCCAGGCATCTACCAGCCTCTGTGTGAAAACTTTTCTCCACATTTCTTGCCTAAACTTTTTCCCCGTCTCGCCTTGAACTTGTGCCCTCTTGTAATTGACCTATCCACCCTGGGGAAAAAGCGTCTAACTATCTACCCTATCTATACCTCTCATAATGTTCTAGACCTCTATCAGGTCACCCCTCAGCCTCCGTCTTTCCAATGAAAACCATCTGAGTTTATCCAACCTCTCCTCATACCTAAAACCCACCAGACCAGGCAACGTCCTGGAAAACCTTCTCTGCACCCTGTCCAAAACACCCACATCCTTCTGGTAGTGTGGTGACTGCGTACAATATTCCAAATGTGACCTAACTAAAGTTTTATACAACCGTAACATAACTTGCCAACTTCTATTTTGATGCCCTGACCGATGAAGGCAAGCATGCTGTATGCCTTCTTGATAACCTTATTCATCCGTGTTGTCACTTAAGGAATCTGAGGACCTATACGCCCAGATCCCACTGTATGTCAATTCTCCTAAGGGTTCTGCCACTTATTGTATAATTTGTATAAATCCACTCCTCCCACCTCAAGCCCCACCCCCATCTCCTACCTACCAGCCTCATCCCGCCTCCTTAACCTGTCCGAACTCCCAGCTCCCCACCTACACTCACCTTTACTGGCTCCATCCCCATCTCTTTGACCTATCTGTCTCCTCTCCACCTATCTTCTCCTTTATCCATCTTCTATCCGCCTCTCCCTCTTTCCCTATTTATTTCAGAATCCCCTTCCCCTCCCCCATTTCTGAAGAAGGGTCTAGACCCAAAACGTCAGCTTTCCTGCTCCTCTGATGCTGCTTGGCCTGCTGTGTTCATCCAGCTCCACACCTTGTTATCTCAGATTCTCCAGCATCGGCAGTTCTCACTATCTCCAAAATAATGATGTTAATGTCCACGAACAGTTATAAAATTCATGTCTTTGCCGGGCAGATAAAGTAATTTAGTTGTCACTAAAAACCTGCAACAGTTCCAGCATTAAGGAGATTATTAATCTCAAGGTGTCTTGGGCAAATGATTGATACCTTTAAGTGCCCATATGTTTCATAATACTGTTATTCAGTTCAGTCCGTTTACCCTGGCACCCATCACAAAGCCAAAAAAGGCAAGGTCTGAGCCACCTGTCAATGCAATAATCTCTTGACAAAGGTGTTTGTATTTTTCTGCTTTTTTGGCCCAGGCTTCTTCCAATGATTTATCAACCATTTCAAAGCAAATTGTGACATCAACGACAATGGTTTTTCGATCTTTCTTAAAAATTAAATCAGGGTTCCATAGAGTACCATCCTTATCCCTTAAATGTGATTCTAAAAGGGTAGTCTATCCATACTTCCTTCAACTTTGCTACTATTTTGTTATGTTGCTTGATCCTTATGTTATTAACAAAAGGACACTTCTCAGAAATATGTGGCAGGGTCTTTAATGGTGCCTTACACAAACAGCATCCCTTACTCAAAAGATGTCTGCCTCAGGTTAAAGCTGTTTTAGTAGGGTGGAAGTTGCATTGAAATAACAAGCTATTTATCAATTTAGATGACTTGATAGTATAAGCTGATGTTATCCTTCAATTTGATTCTTTGTCATTTCTATAACATCTGACACCAAGATCCTGATGCTGGAGCTTAATCCATTTAGGTAGCTCCTATTCTGTCCAAGCACTGTGGTTGATCCTCAATATTTCTGTTCTACCACGTGCTAAACTCCGGGGATCCTGCATCTTCTCAACTTCCATTATAGAACTGTGCTGGTACTTCTCCACAAACATCTCTATCTCTCACAAGATCTTCAATCAAGACAGTGATTCTGTTGTCTCCTGTTTTCTTCCTTACATAACTGTAAAGAAGCCCAAATCACCCTATCTGTCATGGATTTGAAGGCCTTGAATTTCCTAATAATAGCTGCTGGAATTTGTACTTCTAGCTTGAGCATTCCAAGGGCTCCATCCCTATTCTTAGCATAAAGAACACCATCAGTCGTGGGAGATGAAGGGTCTCCTTTGTGAAACCCCAGATGATTTGGTCCAGTTTTTGCGAAATATTTATGATGTTTCTGTTAAAACCAAATGATAAAACAATCTGGGTATGATAAAAGTTTTAAAAATATCAATTTTCTGCATCAGGCAAAGGGCGGCTGAATCAAGGTTCTTTACCCAAGTCTTCAATTTGGTTTCCCATTTGGATTTCTCCACACCACCCATGGATCAACTTGAACTCCCAAATTTCTTCCTGTATCTCCGGGGAGGAGGAATGTACTGACTTTCACAACCACCCAGCATCCAGATTCTACCCTTATGAGAAAAGTGGAAACACTTGGTCTTTTTGATGTTAATATTGAGTACAGTACAGTCATAGAATCACTGGACAATTTTTAAATTCCTAGCCATCCCTGATACGAATCATTAACAAGTGCGATATCCTCAGCAAAGGCAAGAGTGGAACAATTGATCTTCGGTAAAATGCATAAAAACACCCAATTTTGCATCCTCGAGTGCATAACAATGTGTCTAATGCTATATTAAATAAGATATGAGATAAGGAGTCACCTTGCTTGACCCCTCTCTTGATTTTAATTAAGTCTGTTTTGCAGTGATTTCCCTCAATAACTGTTTGCTTATAAACCTGTGATTAATTGTATAAAATACTTCAGCACAGCAATACTTTGAAGCATTTTAAAAAGTAGCTTGTATCCCACTGAATCAAAGGCCTTAGCCAAATTGATAAAAACAACTTAAAGATCCTTCCTGTTCTTCTTTGCTCCTTTAATGATACTGTCTAAAATAGTGATATTCACATTGTGCCTATATGTTGCTGCTAGGCATCCCTTTTGTCTAAAAGTTGTTTCTACTGCCTCACTAAGCCTCTTGGCCATGATTTAGGTAAAAAGGTGAAGTAAAATTGGTCCAATTGTGATTGGACCGCAGCTGTCAATATCTCTTAAGTTGTCTTTGTCTCAGTTTTTGGGATTAAGACTGTTTTTAAGGGTCCAAAATCACAGCTGATTTTAGCCATAGAGAATAAAGCTCGGGAGATACATGACATCCCTTCCAGGAATTGTTAGGATATCTCTTCGCTTCATGCCATTGGGACCAGAAGCTGTTGTTGGGTCACTCCCTTGTCTTGATGTGTTGACCTCCTCCCTCTCTCTATGAGTTGCATAGTTCATGTCCCTCCAGCCAGTATACAATTTGAATTTGCTAGTACTTGTTGATAACTTTGTCTGAAATTACCTTTCAAACTCTTCTTGCGATAGAGGACAGAGGATAATTACAGGAGCCCCCATAATTTGATGGGGAAGCTGTCTTTTGTTGGTTTTATATAATAATTGGGTTTCCATAAATCAAGCCTTCCTAACTGCGCATCATCTTCTAGCTCCATTATTCTGATCACACTTCCTTTCCTTACGATATATTCGCCTGCTTTGTCATTTTTTGCTATTACTATCATTTCTTGATGTCACTTTCCTGTTAATTAATTAGCTGTAATGATCTGTAATACATTGAATAAACTCTAATCCTAGCCTTCGCACCTCCTGATCTCTCTCTGTAAATTAGCTTTTCTGCCTGTAGGAGCTGATCATCTCTGTCCCAATGTTTGAGGGTATAGGCAGATGTTTGAATAGTTTTACTTGCAATTAGAGGGATCTCAATCTGATGTTGTACTTCCCCATCAGTTTCTTCTTTACTAATCTTCTCTAAAGGCGTATTGGGAGCTGGGTTTAGAGTCTTAGTATCCATCTTTTGTAAAGTTCTTCTCTCATGTGAAAATTGCTTGGGCGTTCTACTAGCAATTTTATTATTAATACCAGAGCTCCCTTTAAACTTGTTGCTCAAGTTTACGAAGGAGCCTAGTTTCTTCCTCTGATCATTTGTGATCCTTTCTGCCTGGTTTTGAATTGGTCTCTAGTGCATCTAAACATTTTTGATTTCTGAAGTCAGCATGTTTATGCCATTTGTGCTGGCCAAGACCTACTTAAGTTGTGAAAGTTAAGTCACAGTTGAAATAGGCGAAAGCTTCTACTTGTCTGTTATTCAGATCTTTATTACATTTGGCATAATGACAAGTGATGGCATGGTAGATACGATAGTGATTTTTAAAGGGCATCTTGATAAATATATGAATAGGATGGAAATAGAGGGATATGGTTCCCGGAAGGGTAGGGGATTTTAGTTGTGATGGGCAGCATGTCAGTGCAGGGTTGGAGGGCCGAAGGGCCTGTTCCTGTGCTATAATTTTCATTGTTCTTTGTTCTTCTTTGGTACATACCACTCTAGCCACATTTAGGCCATCTAGTGCGAATATTTTTAATGCCATGTTGTTTAGCTAAATGAGTACGAGAAGTACCCATTGTAGGAAGAAGGGAGTTAAATCTGGTACAAAACAACCCGTCTACAGGATATTGTATTATTACCTCGTTAACAGAATTTCTATTGTATATTGTGGAGATAATTCTGGATTCTGAAATGGATACCTTATCTGGGGTTTCCTGTATTGTTTGTGGATAATATTAGTTAAAACTTTCTAACCACTTTTATAGAAGATTTGAGTTCTAATAATAGTTTAAGTGTCCAAAAGGAGGGCAGCCCTATTTTCTGAAGAAGGGT